CAAAGGTCTTGGAGACCTTTTCCAACCCAAATGATTCTGTGATTCTCTTTCTCATCCTTGTAATGCTGGCATGACCTCTCTGATACCTAGACAGACCAAACAGCCACACTTCCCTCCACAAGGAAGTGTAGGATCAAAATAAAAAAAAGAAAATAGCAATGATGCTTTAGATACAGAATATATTTACATACAGATCTGCACAGATCTGTAAACACAGCTCACAATTTGAAATATTCCAGGCTAAAATACACAGCTGCTTGAAAAGCTCAAGTGAAACAAAACAAAAATTCGGAGTGTTTTTCATGAATCAGTTCCTCAAAGTGCACTAGTAGATACTGAAAATTAATTCCAGTGTCCCTGTAACTCCAGCATGTTTCCTATGCAGTTGAACACTTCAAAAGTGAGATTCAAAGGAGAAAATATCTCATCCAAAGTCAGTCATGGAATTACAGGATTGTCACAGTTGGAGAAGACCTTTAGGATCATCACGGCCAACTGGCATTGCAAGAACTGAAACACCACAAAAACACCACGAAACAATCTATTAAATACTATTTGAAATAAAAATCTAATAAATACTACTCCTACAGGTTCATCATAGGATTCTTAAAAATAAAACAAAAAAAAATTTAAACTAGTGTCTTTGAAACATGTGATAGTGAAGTGTAAGAATGCCCAAGTTTCAAGAACAATTTCCTCCCAAGGAAGATTTCCCAACCAGAATGCACAGCACCTCCAGCTGTGAAAATCACCACCCATTCCTTCTTTGTCTCATTAACACCTGTGCTAATGATGGCAGAATCCCAGAGTGGTTTGGGTGGGAAGGAACCTCAAAGCCCATCCAGTTCCAAGCCATGCCATGGGCAGGGACACCCTCCACTATCCCAGGTTGGCCTGGGACATTCCAGGGATGGGACAGCCACGATTCCACGTCCTGCAGCTCGAGGCTCAGAATTATCACTGTGACACTCTCAAGCTTTGCCAACCCACGCTGATTGTAAATAATTAAGGGGAGAGAAATGCATTAGAGGCTGTTCCCAGCGCCACAGGTGCAGCTATGGGTTAAAATCTCTGGAATGGTGGCAGGAGGTTTCCCCCAGCCGGCGACGTGGGCGGTACGGGCCCTGAGTGCCACCTCTGCTCACTCTGCACAAACGGAGAGATTTCCAGCCAGAACCCAAATTGTTCCAGGCTTTTTCATCAGCCCCTACACCTCAAGCAACTCCCCTTTCCCAACAGCCCCAGGATCAATAAATTATCCCCGTGCAAAAGGCTGGATCACTTCTGTAGGCCCAACACGTTTCCTTTCCTTCGTGTTTTTCATGAGGCACCAAGAGAAATGTTTGCTTTGGATTGCTGGGAAAAGGCTGCTTTTCCCATTACCTCACTGGGAGCAGAACACAACGTGGACTTGGGGGCAGCCACCTGAGAAATCTGAAAGCAGGAATTTTCTTTTTTAATCAAAAAGGTGGAAATTATCAACAAGGCTCCAGAAGCCACCAGAATTTTCAAGAAACAGCATTTGCTTACTTTTATACACCTTCCCCTTTGTTTTTTTTTTTTAATTAACAGGCTTTTAAATATCAATCAAATTAGTACAGGCATCCATCAAGCATTTCAATAGTTTCTACAGCCCCTTTTAACACCATTATTATGTACCACTAGGAAAACAGACCCAAGTAATCACAGTTTTATTGAGCCCCACCATTTCCCCCCACCTCATTCTGCAGGACAGGGCAGAAACTTCATTTTGGACAAGTAACTGGGATATATCCAGTGCAAAACCAACAAGGTGTGGTGCTTTTTTTATTGTATAAAATATATTTTTTTATCATAAAGGGTGTTT